GGGCGCAGCAGGGAACCTGGCTGAGAGCAGAGAGAGGGGGGCTATGATGAGTTTAGACTCACAGCTGCTGCCAATGTTGGTCTGATTCTAACATTCAGGTTCGTTTCCGTTCTTCTCATAGGGAAGGTTTTAAAATGATTAAATGATTGTGTGTTGAGTCGTCTGGCGGCAAGAGGAAGAGGGAAGAAAATGATTTTGAATGGCACTGCAAAAGACGCTTGGAAATGCAGCTTGAGGCTTGTGATGCAAGGGAATGCAGCTTGAGGCCATTAAAGCTGTTCTATCACTAGAAGTTGGGATCCTACTTGGTTTCCCAACGAATTCTTCGAAATTCCCAATGAATTCGGTGGTAGGGTGGGTGGTAGAAGGCCTGGATGTTGTCTGGAAGATTGCAAGTACCAGGGTGGTCAAAGATAACACAAGCAATCTTTACTTCTAGTATGTATTTTCTTCTCTTCGTTCCTTGGGAAAAATTTCATCGTGAATCCCCACAGCATTGCCAAGCTTATAGGCGATACCCAAGCAGTGGTCACTGAGAGGGGATTCAATCAACCATACACAAATATTGTCATTTCGTAGTGTGGCATTCTTGGTACTTACTCTTGCAAAGTTCTTTCTTTCCTTTCAATCTAACTCTGATCCATTTGTGTTTCTATTGCCAGACAACTGATACAAACAGCTCTATGTGAACGCTCATGTTCTTCCAACAAGAATGCTCTATCTAAATTGATGGATTGATCCAAGGATATTGGTAGTGGCAATGCAAGGTGGGAATGCTTGGCCTAGAATTGTTGATCAGGTAAATCATCACATCTTCATTAGTTCATCATCTCTCTCGTCGCTTTAGAGATAGTAATCAATGACACTATAAACTACAAAAGTGAAGTTCGTGAATAAGAAAATGACTTGACTTACCAAAGAATCAGCAATTGCAAACAAGGGTTGAGCTACTTGATCCACACTCTTCACTATCTGGCTATCCACAGCTAAAGTACACTCCATGAATTCTTCCTTTTTCAGATTATGACAAGAAATTTCCTTCTAGCTATTTTCCATTGTATCAATGAGGTTCACATTGTTGTCACACAACACTCTTGCAAGTTGTTCTGCAAGTTGTGTGCAGGACTTCTTCCTCAGCCAGCTTGAACTATGCTTTTCAGGATTGTTATTGTTTCCTGTCATTGCCAAAAGTGATTATGAACAAAAACTACAAAACATACCTTTAAGCTCTGATTCTCCACATAGAGGTAATAATGATTATTGTTGTGAAGCTCTTGGTGTCGATAATGATGATTGTTGGGATGTAGGTGGTGAAGACATTAATTCCTAAGTCTACCTCTGTGAATTTACAGTTTAACAATCCTAAAGCTATTCATCCATCATTGCATAGAGTTGATTATTGAACTTTGGTGGTAAATCAGCTTCATGACGTTGCTCTATTGTCATGTTTCAGTATTGCTTTTGCCAATAGGAACATGATATTCATATGACTTGATTTTGTTGAACTCTTTATAGATATACTCCCAACAAGATTGGCATTGCCCAGGCAAATGGTTGACACCATGTGTCAAACAATAGCTGAAAACTTAGTGAATGACTGGAAGTCTAAAAAATCCAAAACTTACTCGGAAACTTGCTGCTAATGAACACTTGTAGTCTTGTGCCTCTTGAATACTACCTCGCTGCTGTAAGAAGAAATCATGCTTCTTTGCTTCATTCAAAGCTAACAATTCATTTAAAGACCAATGCCCCTGATTTCTAGTTGGTTTCAGAGGCTTTGGTGGAGTGGGAGCAGTAAAATTCCCTCTGCTGAATTGAAAACCATCATACAGAAACTCTTGCTAACGTTGAGTGGAGAACACAATCTCCAAATCGTTCAATTGTTGCTCTCCCATTCTACTCAAGACCCTAAAACCATGAATTGACATGTCAGCAATAGTGGTGGGAGGAAATAACTACCACATCAGCATTTTAACTTGCTATTGTGATTTCATGATGGTCAACCAGTTGCGCTAGTTTTGAAAAACATTCAAATTGATTTCATTGTCACAATGCCACTGTAAAAAAAATGATAGTGATGGTGACATGTACTAAGGCAATGTTACTTCAAATTGCTGATATGGCCATCACAATTTGACTGTGATAATCACATGTGCAATGTCTATTAAGCAAACCAAAAATATGAGTATTTCTTCAATGTAGGCACTAAAACTGAAGCTATAAAAGATAGGTATTGTGGAAAAATAAAGAATATAAAAATATGATATATGTGCCTTGTGAAAGAATCATTTGGAAACCATAATCTAATGTGACCATCATCTTCTATTTATGCAATCAGCTGTTTGGTGTTCTTTTGCAAATAGCCTGCAAAAAAAAAATCTATTAAAATAAATATTTGAATTGTAAAGAATACTTGGGGAATGCATAAAAAATATGATCTTATATAACACTTTTTCTCCATCTAGCATGTCATAGAGGACAAAGTAGCAATCTATTTAAATTATAACTCAATGTAGATTGAAATAACAACTAATTATCCTTGTCTCAAAAGGCTAGTGCAATATTCTAAATCTGAATACCAATCCTAGATTTGGAATGATGCTAGACTGAAAGATTAAAGGGAACTGAAGAGTTGAGTCTAGTATTCCTAAGAGTTTAAGAATGATTAAGATTGTACACCAACATGATAGTTTTGAAAATTTTCTTATACTTATGCTCCATGATATTGGAAGAGAAGGGAATAGTTGGTCACAAAACATTTTACAAAGTGCTAGTTGCCATTGAAGAAGCAATATTCTCTTATACTTGCTTTATAATTAATTGTGACAACAACATTATATGTAAAACTCCACCCTGCAGAATAGAAAGAAAGTTTTCGAAGGGAATGGATGAGTAGGAAATGGCACTTGTAATCTTTCTTATTTCCGAATGGGAGCTAGAACATAGATTTGGATGCCTTGAGAGGCGCACTCTGCTTGCACCATGTCAAACTTCTCATCATCAAATTACTTAACTATCCTTCATTATGCATCCCTATATATCCCTATACTAATTCCTAAAGCTCTCCAAGGATTTGGTTCTTGACAGGTATGGCATTGACTTTGCGGAAGATTTGATAAATTTCCTTGTAAAATCGCCTTGCATACATGCTTTGCAAAGAGCAATCCATTGCCTTTGTAAATATCAAGAATGGGCTGAGGCCCAGCGGAGAGAATAACATATGGAACTCAGAGAGGAGAACATATGAAGCATGTCGGGAGGCAACGAGGGAGATAGGATACAAGGAAGGCAATGGGAACGAGGTATCAATGAGCCCATCTCCACCCGCGCCTCAAACGCAAGCATTTCACACCACTACTTCAGGAGCTCATGATAGACTCTCACCGGCATGGTCTTGAGAATCTGGATTGCCACGCCTAGCATGGCTTAACACTCCAGATAGATTTCTGAAGACTCTCCTATGCCCAATCTCTGTGCGTCCCGCTCTCCATCCATGGGGGATGGGGCGGCTCACGGAATGGCTGGATATCAACGATCAATGTTTGGGTCAACACATCAAAACAGTGAAGAATCAAGTCTGAACTGCTCTGAAGATGTTCTCCAGCATCACATAAGGCAATGCATCACTCACAAGGCTGGACTGGCACGTAAATTCCGCAGCATGCATCCCTCGATTCATCTCCCCGTGGTTTTTGCACGCGTTAAGAAACGTTGCCCATGCAACTCAATCTGCTGGCAAAGGCATATTCTCCAGGACATCCTCGGCCTCTTTCAATCGCCCTAGTCGTCCGAGAGCATCAACAATGAAGGTGTAGTGGTCTTGTGAAGGATCCAATCCATTGTCAAAGCTCATTGTCGTGAAGTAGCTTACTGCTTTCTTGACGAGCCCCAGATGGCTACACGCCGTCAAAACGATGGCAAACGCTGCCTTGTCGGGGTTAAAGCCGTGAAGAAACATCGCCCAAAAGAGCTGGATCGCAGAATACGCATGCCGGGTCTGGGCATATGCTGCAAGAATCGTTGTTCCCGGAGACCAAGTTCCAAGTTGGCATCGAACGCTTTCTTAGCATGACGAATATTTGCATCTAGAGCATATACCACTAGAATTGTGTTCCATGAATAGGAATCCCAGCAGCAAACCAAAGAAAACGCCCGGAAACGACCTCTCTGGCCATAAACAGCGATTATCGCGTTCCATGAAACAAGATCTCTGTGTGGCATTTCTTCAAACAATTGTTTTCCTTGATCAGAATCACCGTTTTGCGCGTATGACTTGATCATAATCGTCCACGAAAGTACGCTGTGCTGAGGCATCCTATCAAACAAACTCTTGACTTGAATCAAATCCCCATTTTGGGCATAGCAGCAGTGCATCGCCCCCTAGAGGATCGCGTTTCGGTGGACAATCTCCTGGAAGACATCCTCCGCCTCCTCCACGAATCCATTCTCCGCAAACATGACGAGCATCACCGCGCGAGTGATGCTGTTCTTCTCGGGCATGGGATCAAACGCGGCCTTCGCATCGCCCACTCGCCCGCGCTGCGCGAAACCCTGCACGAGGATCGTCCACGCTACCACGTTCGTCTCGGGCATCCGATCCAGCACTTCTCTCGCTCGCCCAATCTCTCCGCCGCGAGCAAATCCCCGCAGCAGCGTCGCCCACGTCTTGCAGTTCCTCTCGGGCATCGCATCAAACACCGCCTTGCTCGATCCAATCCGCCCGCAATCGCCCAGCGCCTTGACCATCGCAGTGGAGGAAACTACGTCCCACACCGCCATTCGATCGAACGCTGCCTTGGCCTTCCCCGGATGCCCACTCTCGGCATACGCGGTCGCGAGCGCCGTCCACGACGCGATGTTCTTGGCCGGCAATGCATCAAAGATCCTTCTTGATTCCTCCAAATGCCCACACCGCGCGTAGACAACCAGCGTTTCATCCCACCAAGACGATGCCTTGTGAGCTACGCGCGCCATATGGGAGGTTATTCGAGGTATATTCATCACAAGGCCTTTGCTTTTATTTGTTACACTGTAAAGAGTTTCCTTTCTCTAGCAACTTTAAGGAGCTTCGTCGCTTCGCTCGTGGCTCCAAAGAATCACCCAGCCAAAAAAAAATTCCTCCTTCCACGACTACTACTTCGCTACACTGCTCTACCAAAATCCACCCAGCAACACTACTTACTTGTGGAGTGTGATTTACAATTCCACCTCTTGCAAGTCGTCTCCAAACACTCCGGAGGAACTGGCAGCTTCGAATCCCACTGTGCCGGACTGTTGATGGTGGTGCCGATGAATCGAACTTTCCTGGTGTTGGTTTTGCTGCTGCTGCTCGACCATCACTGGCGGAGTGACTTCCAGAGCTGGAGGTGGCAGCAACGAGATGGTCGACGGTGCTGCTGGATAGTGATTCGAATAGAACATTGCTGGCGAAGAGCCGCTCGAGAGATGATCAGGCGTTGGCCCCAGATCGTTTCTCATATCCTGTACAACCGGCTGAGCGAATGCCGCCGCTGCAAACGGTCCATTCCCGTTTGAGAATGCCGTGTCGGGGACAAAGGCCGGTGCCGAGGAAGGATCCACCGAATGGTTGCTGTTGATATCTGGAGCAGCGGCAGCAGCGGCCGCAGGCACGAAAAATCTCGCTGGAGCCAAAGGCTTTGCGCTTGCCTTTGGCACCACGCCAAACAGTGGAGGAGAGTCCGATGATGTCTTGGATGGTGTTACGCTACCTTTGTTGAATGTATCGACATATCTGCAAAAACCTCGTGAGATTGGAGTGCTGGGAATGCCCAAAACGGTACCTTGATCTAACGTTTTGACGTGCACGAGCTGCGTACTGGTTACTGCTCGGAGGCATTGGTGGGATTCCACTCACAACCGGTTGCGGCCTTTCCGGAGTTGGCTGTGGTCTCTCCGGAGACATGGAAATAGGAGCGCCGTTCTCCTCCACGCGCGAGACGAGCTTGTTTGCCGTGGGAGGAGGAGCCAACGGAAGGTCTGGCGCTTGTGCCTCGGCTCCTTCTTCAACCCAGCGCTTCAGTGTCTCGTCGTATCTAAACTTGTTGCTGTCGCCAAGCTTTGCCTGCATCACGTACCAACCATCAATCAGCTAGCGCTCTTTCCAAAGCTTATACAAACCTCCTTCGAAGGTGTTTTTATGAAGCCCATCGCTCTTTGCACGAAAGAAGTAAAGACGCCTCTGTTTGGCGTTCCTTTCGCTGGACTAACGACCTGATGAAAGAATACAAGTCTTAATCGAAGGTACACAAGAGCAAGTCGAGTTACCTGTGCAGGCCTAAAGTCAGGCTCAGAAATGCTTCTCGCTGGCATGTTGGATCTTCTCGTAATATCATTTATGGGTTCCATTGATGCCGACGAGGCAAGTGATACATTGCTTCTGCTAGAAGCTGTTGCGGGACGGTTATTAATACCAGCATTATCAGAAGCTTTCAGGGGCGAAGGGCCTATCATCTTATGTAGACCAATATTGCCAAAAAACCGTTGCACAATTGACGTTGAGCCTCCCTGGATAACAGGAAAGTGAGTATAAAAGCCGAGTGTCCACTTAGAAACCTGAGAGTGGATATGAAGACGCTCTTCCAAGGCTACAGCCGCTTCTTTGCACACATCAGCTGCATGGCTCGCTGTTTTCAATGTTTTCAACACCGCTAGGCAATACCTTCGAAGAGAAACCTTAAGGATACAGTTAAAAATCACTACCAACCTTAAAGCTTCGTTTATCTTTCCAGCTTCAGCAAGCATCAATGCATAAATAAGCTTGTATGGCTGAAAAGGAAGTAAAATAAACTGGGAATTGCCGGTCACTCTTGCAAATTCGTACACTTCCATTCGCTGATGAAGAAAAGGTTAACAATTGTTATTGAGGACAAACACGGCTTACCTGGATAGCTTCTGGACTAGCGTACGTGCGTGGATACTTACAATGGTCGGCACCTATAAGACAAAGTCTGGCAGAAGGGGAGAAAGGCTCAAAACTAGCATTTGCAACAAGATAGCAAATATGGGCTCCACATATCTGCAAGTTAAAACTATGAGAAACATCAACGTGTGACCATGTATATACCTCATCTCGATGTCTCCAGAGACAATCACCAAGATGCATAATCACTCTCTCGTCCCCATTAGTTCGGTTAGCTGCCATTATAGCCAGGTTTTCCTGCCATTCTTCAAGCATTCCTTCTACTGCGTCCTGCAAGTCAACATGCACTCCTTAAAGCAAGAGAGTAGCTTGATAAAAGTATTTCACCTGTGTTGCACCATCTACAGCGGACGCTGGAACCGGTTGAGGTTGAAGCGCTGTTACGTTCGACAAATTAGTGTTCCCTACGAACACTCCGGCATGTTGACCAGCATAAAGAAGAGTTAGAGTCCGGAGGGGAAACCCTGGTTGAAACTGACGTTGAGCCATCTCCGCTATAGTGTCGGTGTAGAACTATTAAAAACCACAAGACCATCACTAACGGTCTATACATCAAAGCTACAAGACAAGGTACCTTCTCTCCCAGCTGCCGGGCCATAAGAAGAGCACATCCCCAAAGTTGCCCGTCTTGAGCAGCCTTCTGCTTTCCGGCAATCAGTAGCCTTTTCACCTCAAATGCAGTTGCCTGTCGCCAGAAAGTCTTCGTTTGTATCAACTCAAGAGAAAAAGACTGCCCAACCTGCATTTGCTGTTCGGTTGGAGTTGTCTGTAGACAGCGAGAGCCAAGACATCGCGCTCCTCCTTTATGTTCTCAAACAAAGCCTCAGCTTCTTCCAAATGCCCTTTCCTGGCAAATTCTGTGACGAGGACAGTCTGCGCAACGATCGTCTTCACGGGCATCCGATCAAACAAATCCTTGACAGAAGCTATCTTTCCACTGCGGATGCAAACCGTGATCATCACATTCCAAGAGATCTCGTTCTTCTCTGGAGCCAATTCGAAAATCTCTCGCGATTTATCAAGATGCCCGTTGTCGGCATATGCCGTGACGATCGAGTTCCACGTTGAGGCATCTCGCCGGAGCATCCCATCGAACGTTCTGCGCGCTCGATTTAGATCTTTCGCCTGTGCGTAGGCATGGATCATGATGTTGGAGGAGAAGAGCTTAGGATTCTCTATGGATTCCAAGATTGCACGGGCGTCATCGACGCTGCCGCATTTGCCATACATCTGGACGAGCAGATTCGCGAGGTATTTGTTGCGGCGGTGCTCGCTCTGCGCAATGCGGGCGTGGATTTGCCTCCCCTGTGACAGATCCCGGCAGTTCTTGAGCAGTGCTCCCCAGGAGAGCAAGGAAATCACGAAATTGGGGAAGAGCAATGCCATAAACTTTGCTGGATCTCACACACATTCGCGATTCGCGAGGTATTCCTTGCGAGAATCCGAGAATCCTGGACGGAGAAAGAACATTCCAATCTAGCTTAAGAAGAAGAAGATAATCCATCTTGCCTTGCAAGAACAAGGACACCCTGGAAGAAGCAAAGATTTTACTCTCTGGTGACAATTCCTCTACTCCACTGGGCTTATAAGATTGGCTCTCTCCTCCATTCTCTATAGCAATGAATTTCCATCTCTCTTTCTTGCTCCTCGAGATACTAGTGTTCTTGAGAGCTGTCGCCCTAAATTCGCCCCCACCGCTCCGCCCAATTCCCTCATGGCGCCAGCTCCAGTTCAACTCGCGCCGCCTCTCGATGTTCTTCCACTTCGGCGTCAACACATTCACGGACTCGGAGCGTGGATCCGGCCACGAATCGCCCTCCATCTTCAACCCGGAGCGATCTAATGCGTCGCAGTGGATGGACGCGGCTCAATCCGCGGGCGCGCAGCTCGTGATCCTCACGGTCAATCACCACGACGGGTTCTGCCTGTGGCCCTCGGCCTACACCAATTTCTCCGTGGCTGGCAGCTCTTGGCGAGGAGGGAAGGGGGATGTGGTGGCCGAGTTCGTGGCCGCCGCCAGGGAGCGTGGATTGGACGTGGATGTGGCTTTTACCTCTCGCCATGGGATTTGCACGAGAGCTGCTATGGCGACACTCTTCTCTACAACGAGTTCTACTTGGCTCAGCTCCGAGAGCTTCTTACTGGGTGAGTGAGACATTATTTGCTTCTTCTTCACGCATTTTTCTTGGTGGCATGATCACTGTGTGATATGTTTGCATTTCCTCCAGCCCATCAAACGGTTTTAGCATTAGGAGCTCGCGAGCTTGTGGGCCTTTGTAGTTTTCATCTCTGGCAGCAGATGCCTTGATGCGGCATTTTGTTTTGGCGTGCAGATATGGGCCGATCTCCGAGGTGTGGCTGGATGGTGCGAAATCACCCACTGCAGTGAACATGAGCTACGATTTTGAGCTCTGGTTTGACACGATTCATCCCTGGTGCCAACATCTTTTCCGACGCTGGCCCGACATCCGATGGGTTGGGAACGAGTATGGCGAGGCCGGACAACCATGCTGGGCGATGGCGAACAGATCTTCCTTTACGATCGGCAGGAGCGATGGCCAGTACGTAAAATCCATCCTTCCATGAAAGCACAGCGTGCCGGGAGCTCCAACTGCTTTGAGAACCAGAGATGGCGGTGAGTTTACATTTCTTAGGTTGCATGCATGCATGAGTGATTGAGAGCTCCCGGCAGGGTCATGAAGAAGAGGGAGATGACAGCGTCCCCGATCTGGAACAAGACCCGGATGCTCACATGGAGGAGCTCGACCACGAGGCTGTCTAGTTTGTGCATACCTCGGGTTTTGCTGCACCTGCTGCTGCGAAGAGAACCGGGAAAGAACTGGAACCATGCTGAGACCATGCTCCTGATTGATCTCGTTCGTTTAAATGCACATTGCGGATGACAAGAGCCCCGGTCTCCAAGTGCTGCCTGAGAAGAAGACCGTGAACTTGAGGTTCATCGGGCTGTGATTGGGAGGAGGTTTTGCATCGGCCTGTGGAAGTTTTCTTTGGAGTATTAGGTGGAAGAGGAAACTTCAGATGGAGAAGAGGACCTTCTTCACCATTTGTGGCATGCTGGAGAGCGAGATCCGGAAGCAAGATACCGGTTGGAGGAGTGTGGTGCTGGTGGATGTTCGACTGGGGGTGACTTTGTACAAGCTTTTCAAGAACACAAATTACTTGGATCTGGTGGACAAGTTCGGCATTGGGGAGTCCACAGCTCATGAGATTGTCATGGACACTACTGCGGCGATTGTCAAGTGTCTCAGGTACAAGATTCATTTTCCTTCAACTGCCAAGGAGGTTCGAGCTGTTGCTGCTGGCTTTCGACAAGTGACAGGTACATTTTCTTATGTTTTTTGGATTGTTATAAGTTTTGATGACCAATAGGAACCCGACTTCCTAATGTTGCTCGAGCGATCGACTGTACTCCGAGATCATCCGACCTACTAGACTGGACGGCAAGAGCTACTACGATCGGAAGCAGCGTTACTCGGTCATCTTGCAAGGGGTTTGTGATGCCCAGAAGAGGTTCCTCAGTGTCTACGCTGGGTGGCCAGGTATGTTTCTTTGTGTGTTGTGGATGGTTCTAAAATGTTCTTTTTGCTTTCAGGACGCGTCCATGACATGAGGGTTTTTCGTAATTCAACCCTTAGGAACAAGATTGTAGCAAGGGAGCTGCTGACATCACCCGCGGTGTTAGCATATGACGATAGGATCAAGCCATACCTAGTGGGGGACAAAGGGTACCAACTCCAGCAGCATCTGATTATTCCACACACAAGTAAGTCTTCTTCATTCTACTTTCTTTTGTTCACTTGTTTTGGTTGTTGCTCAGCTCCAAACCCGACACCATCCAAGGCAGCTTTAAACCTTCATCACCACCTTGCTCGGATTGTTATTGACTTCTTAAAATGAAGTTCAGATGCTTGGATCAAAAACAAAGGATCCAGCCAAAGTACCTTCCCAACATCATCAAGAGTTGTTCTTGATTGATGTTGGGGAGACTGATCTTTGGGCGGAGATCCAAGCTTGGAGGAAAGAGGTGAAAAGGCTCAAGGACCAGGACCTCTTTGTTGATTATGGTGATCCCGAGCAAGCGGAAGGGGAGCCTCGTGAGATCTTCATCAGCCTTGCTGAGAGCGATGTGGTAAGCTCTCTCTCTCTCTTGGTTTCAAGTTCTTAGTCTGTGCTCCAGGTTGCTTGTGTCATGTCTCTGAAGTGTCTTACGATTTTATTCAAGACTTGTCAACATTTTACAAAATCGGCCAATGGGTTCAAGTAAAAATTCTAAAGGTGACAACGAAAGCTTTAGTAAAACCACAGGGTTATGATTTCCCTCTACAGGTTGATGCGGAAACCAAACGTATATCTCTTGGAATGAAAGCGTCATATCTGACCCCTGAGGATGGCATCAAGCCGATGGAGGAAGAAGCTATAAATGAAGAGCCTTCGAGCACAAATGTGATCATGGATAATGATGAGAGGGAGGAGGAGGACTACTTGGATCTGGCATCAAAACGATTCCCACAGCTGTGCATGTCGATCCACTCTCAACAAAGACGTTGAGGATACAGTGCCAATTGACCTGAAAGAGCAGAGTTACTTCTTGTTTATATTTACTCTTCTCATGTCCTGCTTCTCAACAGGGAGGCTGCAGCAAAAGAGAAGTTATTACAGAAGGACCAAGGACGACTTTGAAAGGCTTGTAGCAGCGTCACCAAATAGTAGCTACATGTGAATCAAATGCATGGCTTATTGGTTGTGTCTTGCAGACCTGAACAAGGTGCGAGCAGTGGCTGAAAGGTAACACTCTACTCGCATTTGATTCTATTTTTCTTTAGGTGTTACAATCCAAGCTTTTTTTTTATAGGGCATTGGAAAAGATAATTTATCGAGAAGAAATGGAAAAGATGAACATATGGATGGCTTATCTCAACCTAGAGAATTCTCTTCTAGCATTTGAAGAGCAAATGGCAATTACTTTAGGTGGTTATAATGATCATGGAAACTACTATAGTAAGCATGCTTGTGTTTGGGGATGGAGATCAAGGGTATGGTAGAAGACCTCAATGTTTTGAGTGCTAATGTTGGGGATAAATTACAACAAAGTGTGGCAGCTTTGACCACGTGGTCAAGGTCGGTCAAAGGGAGCCTCAAGGGTTTATGAAGGTAAGGAATTTAAGACTGATGGTGCAGAGCAGCTTTTGAGGTAGTTTCACAGTGGTTGGGTAGTTATGAACCTCAAGAGGAGCATAGTCTAGTCTAGGAAAGCTAGATTGTTGATTTTTTGTGCTAAGTTATAACATTGGTATTAAAAGTGTTAATTGTGATGGCCAATTAAGCTGAATGCTGGAATCTTATTGTCAATAGTGGTGCTGATGATGGTGCTAATAGAGTTGTGGAGGTTTAGACCATGGAAGATGTGGTTCATAAGTTGCAAGCCTTTAATAAAAATCAACAAGAGATGCAAAACAAGATATATGGCATGATGGGTACCTTGTGTGAGTATGTTAAGGCACTTAAGGTTGGTCGTGGTGGCACTCCAAGTAAACCTTCCTTGGTGGATCGACTCAAGATTCTAACCTTTTTCGGTGATGGTGGTGTGGATGAGTGTCTAGCTTGGTTAGTTAATATGGAGAAGTTTTTGGCTACTAAAGGAATTCCGGATGCAAAGGCTTTAGTGGTTATTTCAATGGTTTTGTGTGATGCAGGTCTTCAGTGGTGGAATTAGCTTGAGGAGTCTTGTGTTACAGATAAGAAACCACTAGTGTCTACAATGGATGAGTTTGAGGCTGTTTTCCATTTATATTTTGCTCACACTGAACTTTAACATTTTCAACAAGGGAAAATGAAGCTTGGGGACTATATTAAGAAGCTAACTCGCTTGATTAGCCATGTTCTAATGAAGGATTCAAATCAAAACAAGTCCTACTTCATTGATGGCCTTTATAGTGAGAGCATGCAGCAACACTTGCGTCATTCTCAGCCTACAAAGAGTTGGGAGGAGCTCTTTGATGCTGCTTGTCAATTTGACAATGACAAGTATAAGTCTCACAAGCGTTCGAGGAGTCCTTATGTTGAGAATTGTCGTGATGATCATTGTGGACACAAGGATGGGAATAAACATCACAAGCTGAAGTCTATGGTGGCTACTTCGGGTACATAGGGGTCAAAGAAGCAGAAATTCTTTGTGAAGAATTATAGACAAGGTTATCATCATTGCGGCAAGCTGGGATATTACAAGGCTGATTGTCCGCAGTGAAAAGCAAATAACATGGCAACAAGAATGGCCAATCTTCTATTAACGGTAAGTCAGATATTAAGAAGTTGTAAACTTTGTAGCGTAAAGATGACAGGGACGACCATTCCGGTTGGAGGATAAAGCTTTCGATTGTTGCTCGTCAACTTAACTATGTGTGGAACAAGATGAAGGTCGAAGACACTCATGCATCAGCTTTAATGCTGGAGGGCGTGTTCTGTGGCAGTCTAGTGTAGATTTTACTGGACAGTGGGAGTGATGACAACTTTGTTTCCATAAAGTTTGTTGAGAAACATGGCCTAGTGACACGAGAAGTTCTTCCATATATGGTAGAAAGTGCAGCTACCTTTACTCGGCATTTGGATACTTGTGTAGAAAGGCTGAAAGTGTTGGTTGGCAAAACCATACTTGTGGAGACTTTTTATCTCATGGATCTTTATTGTGTGAATCTCATTCTTGGGATGTCATAGTTGGTGAAGGTGGATCCGGAGATAAAGTGGAGTATTAAGTGTGTCTCATTGGAGTACAGTAGCATTAAAGATGTGTGGTTTGAAGAGGGAGTTTAACCTCTAATTGTTATGCTCTCTATTACATCTTTGAAACGGGCTTATCGTAATGGAAAAACACTTTTGAGTTATTTGCTGTTTGTTCATGACTTAGGGGACCAAGCCACATGTGGAGGAGAGGCAATAGTGCGGACTATACTTGAAGAGTTCTCTGATGTTTTTCCCTCTAAACTTCCTTATGGATTGCCTTCATTACGAGGTGTGGAGCATAGGATTACGTTGGAGCTAGGGACACAGCCAATTTACCAGCGTCCATTTCAGCAAGAATATGGAAGAGCATAAAGCGCATTTGTGCAAGGTTCTTTTGTTACTCCATAACAACAAACTTTATGTGAAGAAGAACAAATATGAATTTGCAAAGTCGGAGGTGGAATATTTAGGCTATATTATGACATCCAAGGGTGTTAAGACGGATCCAAAGAAGGTGGCTGTGGTGGAAAACTAACTTACACCAACTTCAGTGGCTGAGTTATGCAATTTCCTTAGTATAGCTAGTTACTACCAACATCTTCAACATAAGTTTGCAGAGGTGGCTATTCCTTTAACACAATTGTTGCACAAGAACATGCTATTCGAGTGGAACCACATGAGGATAGTTTTGTGGCATTGAAACGGTTATTGAGCGAGCCTCCAGTGCTTCACATTGCTAATCTATCAAAACCTTATGAAATGATATATAATGTGAGTGGTTATGCACTGGGAGGAGTTCTTATGCAAAAGGGACAGCATATTGCATATGAGAGTCGAATTTTGAATCCCGTGGAGCAACGCTATTCCACATATGAGCAAGAGTTACTCTTCATTGTTCATACTTTACAGACGTGGCAACACTATCTTTATGGTGCAGTATTCACAGTGTTGACGGATCACAAACCCTTTGTATATCTTTTCACACAGAAGGAATAAAACACTAGGCAAGCTCGTTGGATGGTCAAACTTATAGAATTTGGGGAGTTTATTATTGAGCATCGTTTGGGAAAATCAAATGTGGTGGCAAATGCTTTATCTCATGTTTGCCATGTGATGGCATTATAAACATAGTTTTGTCATCATTTGAGTAAGGTGGTTAGTGAGTTTGGGCAGTTGGTTGAGCATGCTCAGACTCAGAATGCTAAGGTGGTTTTGTTGCAAGCTCAGATGGAAGCACCTTTCTCATTAGTGGATGGGATTCTTTACTACAATGGCCATGTGTATTTGCCATGGGTGGATACATTAATTACTTAGGTTTTATTCTACTATCATGATCATCCAAAGGTTAGTCATTTTGGGGGCAAGAAGACATATGAGTTGATTAAGCACAATTTCTATTGGAGGAATATGAAAGTTGATATCCTTGAGTACTATAAGTCATGTGAGCTTTGTCAGCAGATAAAGGTGCTACAGGAGAAGTTGGGGGGACTTTTGCAACCTTTACCTATTTCTCAGAGCCGTTGGTGTAGTATTTCTATAGACTTCATCACTTATTTGCCACGAACACAGAGGCAAAAGGAGCAAATATGGGTCATAGTGGATCGTTTGACGAAATATGTGTGGTTGTTGGTTCTTCGGAAGAGTGTCACTGCCTTAGACTTGGTTGTAGTCTACTTAGAAAAGGTTTTTCCTGATTTTAGTTTATTGGAGGATATCGTTAACAATCAAGATTCAAAGTTCACTAGTAGATTTTGAAAAAGCTTTGCAAAGGCTATACAAGTGACTTTGAAACTCTCAAGTGGAGATCATCTTTAGACAGATGGGCAAATCAAGCATGTGAATCAGGTGGTGGAGGATATATTACGCTATAGCATTAGTTAAAGGCAAGGACAATGGGATCTATATCTTTCATTAGTGCAATTTGCCTATAACAATAGCCAACATAGTGGAACCAAGTTAAGTCCTTACTTTACCATGTTTGGAAGGCATCCTCAAACAGCGGTGGAGTTGGAATTAGAATGTTCAAGGAAAACATGATTCAAAGGTGATTGATTTGGCCATAGAACTTGATGAGATTCTGGTGGCGTGCAAATGGAATTTGCAAGCAACCCAAGATAAAACGGAGAAGTTTGTTAATGAGTATTGCCAATTCCAGAAATATAAAGTGAGTGATCTCGTCTTTGTATGAGTGATTTTTCCGTCAAGTGAGTAATGGAACACTTTAATGCCTTTGCGGAATGGGAAAAGTGATAAACTTTCTCATCAGTATGCTGGTCTATATGAAATGTTGGAGTGCATCAGTAAGGTGGCTTATCGAGTGCGACTGCCAATTGGGGTGAAAATTCATTTGGTATTTTATGTTAGCCAGTTGAAAGGTATACTATTTCAGAGTGATGGGGCCTCCTTGATATATACAGCTGTGGAAGATGGATCAAGAGCTTGAGCAACATTCCCCAAAAAAGGTGATCATTGGTACAACTCATCCTTAGGACAGAGGAAGAATTGTTAGGCACTAGCTTTGACCACGTGGTCAACATTAGTCCAAGGAAGGCTCAAGGGTTTATGAAGGCATGTTAGGGTAAAGAACTTTGCAGAGGACCTTTTGAGGTAGTTTAGGGGTGGTTAGGCGGTGAGGAACTTCAAAAGTAGGCGTAATCTAGTTTAGGAAGACTAGATTGTTGACTTTTCGTGCCGAGTCATAACACAATTCTTGTTCATGATGTGAGGAATGTCATGGATGGGGACATAACACTGGAACTTGTGCCAAATGTCAAAAATATGCTAACAAATATTCTTATGCTCTTTTGACATTTATGGATAATAGGAGTTCTATTTCTTGTGCTTCTTCTCTATCACCAACAAATAACAAAAGTCCTCATATTCTCTCTCTTTCATAACATGCAATATAGAATTAGTGGAGGATGAGTAGTTTATGTTTGTTTTTGCTG